CGACTCTGAACGGTCCAGAGCTCAAAAAGTACAGACCATACCACATCTTTAAGGACCCAGTCTCCATCATATATCTCAATCACGAGGAACAGAAAAGACTCATGTGGGTAGAAGACATTCACAAATACTGTGATGGGACTCTGAAGATCATTCAGACTAAGCTACAAGAGATCAAAGAAAATATAGATCCAAGACTTGCGGACGCCAGCGAGGAAGAGCTCCAAGTATACGAGAAGGTGTGGACCATCCTAAAGCCTATCAACGAGCAACTTGAAAAGAGAAGAATGCTGAGACAGTATGAGCATGCGCTAAATTTAAGAAAGCATTACTTCAGATCTCAAAAATAAATGCAAGACGGCACTTGATCACAAAGGGGGAGATTGTTGAAGACTATTTATTGTGAATCAAGTTTGTCTGTCTTGTCTGTAATAAGTTAGATGTTTACTATTTCTATTCTGTACTGATTAAATATATCTGTTAGAATAGTATACAATATGGGCCAAGTGTTAGGCCCATACTCAGGCAAGAAGCCTTTGTACGCATACCTGAGCCTCGCCTATAAAAGAGGGAGGAGGACTCAGGTTTGCAGTCAACTTTCGTATCTGCTCAAAATAGCCTTAGCGCTTATCATTCTTGTACGAAAGATTCACGGTATATCAGAGAAGGTTTTCACTTGATCTTTCTGTGTTCATCTTTATTGTTAATCTTTCATCTGTATGCCATATTATACTGTTGTTATAGAAAACAGGGAACAACAAGAAGCATCCTCGGCGATGTATTTTGACTCAAGAGAATTCCACAATTCCTTCGCACTCTCAACGTTTTGGTAAATATCAAATAACGCATCGGACATTCCGTTAAGAATGTGGCCTATACATATGTAGTCATCGTTCTCCCACTTGTTACGCCTCCTAGTTTGTTCCAAGGTTTCATCCTCCATCACTTCTGGCATCAGAGTGCTCAACACGTACACAACCTTCTAAGTGGTGAGGAGGAAGTGCATCTTCTTTTTCCATCTACGGAAATCGTTCCCTTGAAACTTGTCCAATTTGTTGAACTTGGATGTCATCTATTCCACGGTACTCATGATTATCACAAAGAAAATATCAATTCGATTGTTGGGGTAAATCACGTAGGGGGTGATTATCGAGTACTTGGATTGTTGAAGGATCTTGTAGGTTCACTTTCCGAATTGATATTTCTCCCCTATGCTTGGGTTACAAGAAACTCAATCTAGCATAATCCTTAAGGACACTCTAGAACTTAGGCACAAGAACTAGAGCCAAACTAGTGAGTATATGGATTGCTATCTTAAGTTGAATGCCAAAAGTGATCAAGATATGTTGTATATCTCTACTCTAGCTTCTATGTACGAAATATGGTGATATATATCCATATTACACATCCCAGGAAGTTGCAACACGTTTTGGAATAATTGTGACAGTTTTTGGAAAAACTTCACGAAACTGCCTAACCACTCTAGACCTCGGTCTAGAACCACAAAGTTGGTCTACTGAGTGTACTACCTCGAGTTCCACTGCCGTAGACACTTTGGAATAGAACTCGTTCTTATATACAAGTGTGCACTCCACACCTCCTAGCTTGTATTAGATCATGGTTCTAACCCTCATTGGCATTCATGTCATTTCTAATTACACAAAACGGCCGGTGACACTAAAATCACCAACACGATCCTCGTCAGGTCATGATTGAGGTGGTCGGGATTTCCTTTAATGTTGCGGTTGTGTTGTGTCCGGTGTTTGTATTCGCTATGGGAAATTAACAAATGATTAGTTTTGATCGAAAAAAGACATAAGAAAAGGAGAAAAGCAGGGATAGCAACTAATAGTTTAGATGAAGAGCAGGTTGGAATGTCTGAGGGAATTCGAAGGGGGTGAATTTAGAGAAAGGAAAGTTGGTTGTTGACTTGTTGAAGACAGTTCAACAAGAAAAGGAGGCAAGGTTGAAGAAAAGTGCAGAAGACTAGAAGGGGAGGGGGCGAGGAGATTAACATAGATATGAATGGAGCCGAGCTTGGCAAAAAATGGGAGAGGCTAGAGGTGAGCTGCAACCCAATGGCTCGTTTAACACAAGATCGAGGGTTTTGCAGAGGCAGCAAGAAGAGGGTGAAGTGACAGAGATCCAGAAGTCTATTTTATTTAGTTTTACATACTTTAATTTTAATATTTTTGTTCAGTACTCTGTTTTTATTTTTCTCGTCGATACTGAGGTTAAATAGTTTATTTTCCAGTTTGTGTTTGTGGTTGTTAGATTGAGAGGAAGCAATTAGGCTATTCTGACCAATAATAACTTCAAATCTCTCGCATGTTCAACGATTTAGTAGTCTTTCTCAATCTTATGCAGTCTATCATATGTTTGATCAGAGAGTGAGAGAGCCACTATAAAATGAGTAGAGGGAAGGCAGGGGTAACTCGAAAGATTGATGTTTGGATGTTTGTTTCTGTGAATATAGTAAAGCGTTTCCTTTAAAATAAAAACATTTTTGTGTTGAAGATTGAATGGAAGAGCCTAGCCGAGTTCTAATCGTGTTAGGTTTAGTTTTAAGGTGACAACTGTGGTACTCATTTAAAAATGGGGTAGCATACCTACCATTAACTTGATTGGTTCAAATCATTATCTCATTTTTAATTTATATTTAAATAATTCAAATGCATCATTCCGATTGGTCCTAGTGAACAAGAGTATGATACTTACCTTAAGAATACCATAGAATCTACCTAGTTTTAAAGGGGCGTCTTCCTGCTTTAAATTGCTGTAACACACATCGTTTAGTCTTGGTAAAGCAGAGCGGAAGAGTAGGATCACACATTGAGAGTTTCCGTGTTTTTACAGTCCTAGTCAAAACTAGGGGTGAGTACGGTTCTTTCGGTTCGGTTTTGACCTAAAACCAAATACGGAACCAAAGTAAAAGTTCGGTTTGGTTTCGGTTCGGTTTTACACTCCAAAACTTCAAACCACGGTTTGATTTGGGTCGATTTGTTTCGGTTCGGTTTCGATTTTTTCGGGTTTTTACTAAATATTTTTCATTTAATTTAAAATTGATATAAAAGTTGGAGGGATCAAACATATTACATAAAAATGCAAGCATACTTGAACAAATGAAGAAAATAATACTCGTAATAAACAAATATGTCTTGAATTATATGAGTAAGCGGGAGAGATAAAAGTGTGTATCTATTCTTAATTTACAATGTTTGTGACTAGTTTGAAGAACGTTTATGAATACATACGTCCTGTGTGATTTAGCCGAGATGAATATTTATTTATTTTATCAATATAAAAAAGTTAAGTTACAAAAAAGAATTAAGTTACATAAAATTAAAAGTTAATTACTACTAATAACTAGTGAAAACATATAATCATGCAACAAATTGCAACATACATACATAAAAACAATAATAGATCAATATAGAGCTACATTATTATGGGCAATGAATGTGTAAATGCATTTATAAACTAAACTAAACATAGCATAAACATTATTTCTCTAGCACAAGAAATTCAAAGATTATTGATGATATTAAGATTAATGCTTACATTTAACAAATAAAATTTCATATTTTATTTATGTTCGGTTTATTCGATTCGGTTCGGTTTTGAAGGGTAAAAACCAAAACTGAACCAAACTACTACGATTCAGTTCGGTTTTTTTATATTCGATTTCGGTTTTTAGCGGTTCAGTTTTATTTGGTCGCGGTTCGATTTAATTTGATTCAGTTTTCGGTTTTCGGTTTTTCGGACCCAGCCCTAGTCAAAACTCGACCCATCCCTAATCCCGGCCCTAATCCCACACCTACTCAATTTAACTCGGAAATACGATTTTCCATCTATGGATTATACAAACCTCACCAAATTATTATCTATAGGTACAGCTATAAAAAAGTCAAAAGGGGAATCTTGTCCAAATTTATCTCCTCGTCTAGCAACTACGTACAGCTGTTCTTAAAGCATGTTGTTATCCGTAAATGAGGCATAGACAAGTGGCGGATTTATGATCTGATTTTGGGTGTTCATTCTCTAATACAATTAAAATCTAAAAGAACAATCAATGATTTATCTCAGTTCACATGGCATCCTCAGTTTTTTTATTTCAAGGTTATCAGCAGCCATTTCAGGGGGTGGATCACATCTGTATATGGTAGGCATAGCTACATTACTAGAAGAGAGTTATGGAGTGGACTAGTGGATATTTCTACTTCTATGATTGAACCATGGTTGGTGGGAGGAGATTTTAATGCTATTTTGAGCCATGGAGAACATAGAGGTAATTCTTTTCCTACTCTTACAGGTGCTAATGAGTTTGCTGACTATATTGCGGCCTGTAATCTGATTGATTTACCCCATATTGGTCCTAAATTCTCATGGGCTGGTGTTAGGGTAAATGGTTGGGTGTGGAGAAGACTTGACAGGTGCCTTATTAATAATGAGTTTTTAGATAAGTTTGATACTATTCAGATTTCTTTACTTAGCAGAACTCCCTCTGATCATAGTCCCATGCTGATTCAAGCAGATAATAAGAGCATTTCAGCTCCTAAATCTTTTAGATTTCAGAATATGTGGTTGGCACATTCTGAATTTATGGATTTTATTTCTCAAAAATGGTCCAGTTACTCTTCTGGGAGAAGAATGAGGGGTATTGTATATACGCTTCAGTGTCTTAAGAGAGATTTGAAAATCTGGAACAAAGAAGTCTTTGGGAATGTTTTTGAAGATATTAAATTATGTGAAAACGAAGTGTTAATGGCAGAAATAGCTTATGAGGATAATCCAGGAGAGGCTACTCGTGAGAATTGGGCTTATAAAAGAAGTTTGATTCTGCAAAAATATCATTTGGAAAGAAAATTTTGGAATCAAAAGGCACATGTCAAGTGGATTAAGGAGGGGGATGCCAATACCAGATTGTTTCACTCCTTTGTCAAGGTTAAAAATAAAATTCAAACTATTTCTATGATTAAGGATGCCAATGGGAACAATCTTACCAGTCCCTATGAAATTGGTGATGCTGCCATTAACTTTTTCACTGAATTATACTTCAAAGGCCCTGATAATGATCCTCTAGAGGTCCTGCAAAACATTCCACACATTATTACAGAAGATGATAACAAAAATTTGATTTCCTTACCTACTCATAAGGAGGTTAAAGAGGCTGTTTGGGGGCTGGATCAAAACAGTGCAGCTGGTCCTGATGGTTACAATGGTAAGTTCTTTAAGAAATGTTGGAAGGTGGCGGGAGATGATGTGTGGAGGGCTACTCAGGAATTCTTCCTAGGGATTCCTATTCCTAAGGGTATTTCCAGTGCTTTGATTGTTGTTATTCCCAAAAATGACAGTCCTAGTTCTTTTACAGATTTTAGACCTATTTGCTTGTCTAATTTTTTAAGTAAAGTTTGTACAAAGATTATTACTGCCAGGCTTAGGATTCTCTTGCAAAAAATTATTTCAAAAGAACATGCTGGTTTTATGCAACACAGAGACATTGCAGAACAAGTTTTGGTGGCTCAGGAAATAGTTCATTGCATTGACAAGTAGGTCAGGGGCTCTAATATGATAATTAAACTTGACATGGCTAAAGCTTTTGATAGAGTCTCATGGTATTTTTTAGCTGCTGTTATGAAGAAATTTGGGTTTTGTAATCAATTTGTTAGATTGGTTCTTAACAATTTGGAGGCTACTCACTTATCTGTGCTGGTCAATGGGGCACCTCATGGGTTTTTCAAACCCCAAAGAGGGGTCAAACAGGGGGGCCCTTTATCTCCTTTTTTGTTCATCATTGCTTCAGAAGCTTTTTTTAGGGGGCTGAATCATCTTATGGGTAATGGGAGCATTAAAGCATTCTGGATGGGGTCTAATGGCTTTCCTACTTCTCATCTTGGGTATGCTGATGATTTTCTTATATTTCTTAATGTGGATTCTAGGTCCCTGATGGTGTTTAAAGAGTATTTAGATGATTATCAAACTGCCTCTGGACAGCTTATTAATTTCCAAAAGAGTTCTTTTGTGTGTGGGAAGACTTCATCTGGTAGACTTAGCAGAATCAAGGATCTTTTGGGCATGAAGCTGGCTACGCTTCCAATCAAATACTTGGGTGTAAATCTGCACAAAGGAGTCAATAGATATCAATAATGTGGATCACTTATCAAGCAATTTGAGAATAAGCTTTCACCTTGGAAACAGAGGAAACTCTCCCAGGGTGGGAGGCTGATTCTTATTAAACATGTTCTCAATACATTGCCACTTCACATACATGCAGTTGATACACTCCCAAAGAAAGTGATAAAAATTTTACATAATAAGATGGCTTCCTTCTTCTGAGGCTCAACTAATGTGAGGCAGAAGTATCATTGGATTAAATGGGATAATCTCTGCTTTCCTACTGAGGAGGGAGGGCTTGGGATTAGGTCCTTGTCTGATATTGAGAAGGCTTTTTCTCTTAAGTTATGGTGGAAGTGGAAGACTAGTGACTCTTACTGGGCAACTTTTATTAAAGATAGATACAATAAGGGTGATAATATGATTCCTAAGGTCTCTGATTCAGTTATTTGGAGGAGGATTTGTGGTATTCATGATCTGGCTGAAACTTTGTGTTCTACTGATCAATTAGGTAGATTAATCTGGGAGGCAGAAAGAACATGTATGTTCTCTTTCAAATCTGCTTACAATGAAGTCAGGAATCAGTTAGCTCATATTATGACCTATAAGCATATTTGGCACCCTAGACAAGAGCTTAAGATTCAGATTACTCATTGGAAAATTGTTAAAGGAATTATTCCTGTTTCTGATAAACTTAGCAGGTTCAGGAAGGTCCTTGAACCTTCAATTTGTGTGTTTTGCAGAAAAACTCTGACAGTCTTGAGCATCTGTTTTGTAGGTGTTCAGTTACTAAGCCTATTTGGCGCTACTTCATGGGGGTATTTGGAATTGTCCATCAGGAAAATGACTCTATCTTGCAGGTGTTTAGAAAATGGTGGTTGAAAGCAGGTTCCAAAGGGGTTATGATTATCTTCAAGTATAATATGCCTGGGATCATATGCTGGCAAATTTGGAAAAACTGCTCTAACATTGTTTGGGGGCAGGGAACTAATCCTCCTTCCTCGGAGAGTCTTATTCTCCAAATAAAACATTATACTCAACAATGGTCTCTCAGCTTACCAGATAAGAAACGGGGGGAAGATATTAAAACTTTGATGGATGAACACATTGTTTCGAGGAATTACAAAGCTACAACAAAATCGTTTCAGATGGTCAAATGGCGGAAAGCGAAAGGCCAGATGAAAATGCATATTGATGCTAGCTATTTACCTAATGCAGCAGCAGGAGGAGCAATTGTGAGGAGACCGAGTGGAGAGCTGGTTGCGGCAGTTACCTTTCCGGTGGAGGGTAGCTCTCCGACGGAAGCTGAACTTCGGGCTTTGATGTTTGGAATTCGTTGGGCTGCTGATGAAGAATTTGAACGACTTCAGATTGAATCTGATTGTGATTTGGCGATTCAGATGCTAAGTGAAGGAGAAATGCGGAGATGGGCTCTTCCAATTCAGGAAACCCGACTCTTGATGAAGAGAAATAACATGGGCCTTGGACATACTTGGAGAGAAGTAAATGAAGTGGCCCATTATCTGGCAGCTTCTCATGCGGGCCAATTGAGTATCAAGTTTGAGGAGCCCAAATCGTTACCAGATGGGGCTAAGCGGGCCTATTACTCGGATCTGTTTGGTATTCCAAATTTTCGTATTGTTTAATTTCACTTTGGGTCAGGCCTAGTCCCCCAAAGTCTCTTGTATTTTTCTTTGTTTTCTTTCCCCTGGGAGGTTTTGGTTTGGTCCCTCTCTCTTTTTGTACTCTACTCTCGTTTAATAAAATTTGGCAAGCGTTCCCCCGGCGTTTGCCCGACTGATTTTGGTGGTTTATCTTCCGGGGTAAAAAAAAAATCTTGTGAATGATGTGGTAAGGCAGGTTATCGAGAGAAACACCCTTTTTGATAAACAATTGTGTCAAGATAGTGCCAATAGGGATCCCAACCTTCCTAGAGCGATCACTGATGGTAAATTTGAGATGGGCAAACATAAGGTCAGGAAGGTTAATTGGGGTTTTTGTGGCTAAGAGATACATATACGCAACTTCTAGCCTAGATGAAATCAGTCTTCCTTCCAGTCGAGGGATAAGATTGGAATGAACAAAGTAAAATAAAAACTTGTGGATAGGAGACAAGTTACTCACATGAAGAGAGAGACCGGATACATTTGGGTCAAAATATTTTAAGGCATCAATCTGGGGCACAGTTGACAGTGACCATTCCTCCTTCTTGTATGGGCATTCACCGGTATAGGGAACGTCTAATACCTTTGCTAGTTCTTGGATGGTTAAAAGTAACTTGGTACCACGAACACGAGAGACTAGCACATTTTCTTTGATTACAAGATTGGCAAGAAAATCGGATAAATAGTCAGGATAGATGGGGCAACAATATTTAGTTTCGAACAGAGGCCCCCATTTTTGAAAAGCAACAAGTTCTACAAAATCGGTGCTTTGAGAGGAGAGTTCGGTGAAAGGAATAGCGATTACCTTAACAATGCCTCTTTCCATGTATGTTGCTTTGAGTCTGAGAGCGTCTTCTTCTGCCACTTTCCCGATTTTAGAGTATTTTTTGATTGATTCGTCTACTGGGATGATACCTTCAGCAATGGTTCTTTTCCGGGTGTACTTTTGAGGCAGGGCTTTCCCTTCGCGAGTGAGTGGTTTATCCTTGGAATGCTTGACCGGAGAGGGAGATGCTGAGGACGATGGATTCTCTTCTTGTTCCCCCTGAGAAGATGCGAGGGATGGTGGTAGTGACTCGGAGGGTTCGAAGTGTTGATTTTGCATGTTGGTAGGAGGCGTGGATTCAAGTTCGATTGGAGTGGATGAGGATGGTCGTGGTGGTTGTGAGTTTCGTTTCCGACCTGAGCGTCGAAGTGCGGTTGGAGGAGCACAACCTCTGGTTTTAACCATGGTGGTTTAGGGAAGAGAGAAGGAGGAGTTTATGGAAGGTGGGTGAGTTTGGAAGTGGGCGGCTGCATAGATACTTGGGGATCTTTTACACTTCCCAAAAACAATCTTAATGATTTCTTTCCAAATTCAAATGTATTTCCTATTGAAGGAAGTGCCCGGTTGATTAGCTCCACAACCCAAAAATATTTTTACACCTTTAAATACTTTCTTAATTTAGGTAGTTTCAAAGATCAGTTCAATTCATAAAACTACTTGCCCTTTTAACAAGTAGAAAAATTCCCCCTAAGTTGGAAAGTAATTTAAAATTCACAATCCAACAAAATTAAAAGTTTAAAGGAGAAAATAATTTTAAGCATTGATAAGACCAAGTTCAAGTCGAATTAATTCAAACATTTCTCTTCCCAGAGGCTTGGTAAAGATGTCAGCAATTTGCTTGTCAGTGTTGCAATATTCCAGCTTAATTAACCCCCTTTTCACACAATCTCTCAGAAAATGATGACGGATATGGATATGTTTCGTCCGAGAATGCATGACCGGATCTTTTGAAATGCTAATTGTGTTGGTATTGTCACATAGAATGGGCGTGCAATTTAAGGCAATTCCGTAGTCGCTCACTTGTTGCATGATCCATAGTGATTGGGAACGGCATGATGTGACTGCTACGTATTTAGCTTCGGCCATTAAAAGAGCAACTGAATTTTATTTCTTCGAACTCCATGAAACTAAGCAAGGACCTAGGAAGTGAGCCGTTCCAGATGTGCTTTTTCTATTCAGTAAATCACCTGCAAAATCAGAGTGAATATGCAATAAGATTAAAATCCTCTTTACGTGGATACCATAAGCATAGATTCATAGTTCCTTTGAGGTATTTGAGGATCCTCTTGACTGCTTTGAGGTGTGACTCCTTAGGATTTGCCTGGAACCGAGCACATAGACCTACACTAAAAACAATGTCAGGTCTACTGGCAGTTAGGTACAGTAGGGACCCGATCATTCCTCGGTACATCTTCTGGTCTATGTTTGTTCCTTTTTCATCTGCATCCAGCCTGTCATTTCTTCCCATAGGTGTTGTCATTGTTTTGCTTTCACTTGCTCCATACTTCTTGAGTAGTTCCTTAAGGTATTTTTGTTGGGATATTTGGGTTCATTTGCTTGTTTGTTTGATTTGCAGACTGGGGAAAAAGTTTAATTCACCCATCATACTCATCTCGAATTTGGAGCTCATAAGAAAGGAAAATTTATCACAAAGTGAATCGTTAGTAGCTCCAAAAATTATATCATCTACATAAATTTGAACAACCAATAGGGCTTGATCTCTTATTTTTAGAAAAAGAGTTTTATCTATTTTTCCTCTTTCAAAACCATTTTCCAAAAGAAATTTAGATAGTCGTTCATACCAAGCACGAGGTGCTTGTTTGAGACCATAAAGTGCTTTATCTAGTTTTAAAACATGGATGGAAAAATCTGGATTTTCAAAGCTCAGTGGTTGTTCCACGTATACCTCTTCCTTAAGGTACCCATTCAAGAAGGCCATTTTAAGTCCATTTGGTGGAGGGTGAAGCCCATTTGAGCCGCAAATGCAATGAGCATTCGGATTGCTTCTAGCCTTACCACCGGTGCGAAAGTTTCGTTGAAGTCTATCCCTTCTTGTTGATTATAGCCTTTGACAACAAGCCTCGCCTTGTTCCTTGTGATTTGTCCATGCTCATCAAGTTTGTTTTTAAATACCCATTTGAGACCTATCACAGTTTTGTTCATGGGTCTTGGTTCTAGATGCCACACCTTGTTCCTTTCGAACTGATTTAGTTCTTCTTGCATAGCTAGAACCCAGTCAGCATCAGAGAGAGCCACTTAATGGTTCTCCGGTTCTATAAGTGATAAATAAGCAAAGAAAGCGTAAAAATTTCTAAGTTTAGATCTAGTTGTTACTCCCTGATTTAGATCTGTTAAGAAGTTATCCAGGGGATGTGAACGATGATGCTTCCATCCTCTTGGTGCATTTGGTTGATCCACCTATTCGTATAAGGTGTCTGGAACAGGACCTACTTGTTCTACATTCTGCCTGGTTGTGATCTGTCCTGGTCCTTCTTCCGTTCTAGACTCGGTTTGTTCATTACCCTGTGTTTCCTCGAGGTTTGTTCCAACGTTTTCTTGAGTCTGATTTTCTTTGCGAGAGATTCCTATATCTCCTTCATCATCTTGCCTCGGTTTTAATGAAAGAGCTTCATCAAAAATTAAATGGATGCTTTCCTCTACACATTGTGTGCGTTTGTTTAGAACTTTGTAGGCTTTGCTATGAGTAGAATATCCAAGAAAGATTGCCTCGTCACTCCTTGCATCGAATTTGCCAATATTGTCCTTCCTGTTATTGTGGACGAAACATTTGCATCCAAACGTTCTTAGATGGCTAATGTTGGGCTTCCTCCCTTTGAGTAATTCATAGGGTGTCTTTCCTTGGAGTGCACGGATCATGGATCTATTAATGATGTAGCATGCCGTGTTTAGAGCTTCTGCCCAAAAGTTTCTTGCTAGGCCACTGGAAATTAGCATTGTTCTAGTCATGTCCTCCAATGTTCTTTTTTTGCGTTCTACAACCCCGTTCTGTTGGGTAGTTCTAGGGGCAAAAAAATTGTGGTCTATGCCTTGTTCCTTGCAGAATGCATCAAAAAGTGAGTTGTCAAACTCAGTTCCATGATCCGATCGGATCTTAATTAAATGTAGCCCTGTTTGATACTCAACTTTTCTTACAAAAATAACAAACTCATTAAATGTATCTTTCTTGCTTGCAAGAAAGATAGTCCAAGTATATCGTGAAAAGTCATCAACAATAACTAAAACATATTCCTTGTTTCCCCGACTTCGGACTGACATTGGACCACACAAATCCATATGGATTAGTTCAATGGGCTTGCTTGTGCTCACCAAATTCTTTGTTTTAAAAGATGAACGAGATTGTTTTCCGGTGGCACAAGCGGAGCAAATATGATCAAGTGAATATTTTATTTTAGGCAGCCCGACTACCAAATCATTATTTTTGAGTTTATTCATTAATGAAAAACTAGCGTGTCCAAGCCTTTTATGCCAAAGTAGGGGATCGTTGTCAATAACGCTTAGGCAAGTCAGAATTATGCTTGGCAACAAATCAAGATCAACCTTATAGGTGTTTTCGAGTCTCTTGCCTTCTAGTATGACTTGATGTGATTCGTTATTAACAATGCGACATACATTATGATCAAAAACTACACTGTTACCTCGATCACAAAAATGAGAAATACTAAGCAAATTAAACTTTAAACCCTTGACTAGGAAAATATTGCCTATTGTATGGTCAGGCGACTTTCCAATTTTTCCCACAGTAATGTTTTCTCCTTTACTGTTGTCTCCAAATGTCACCTTTCCACCGCTAAATGGCCGCAGTGAGAGGAATAAAGATTTATCTCCCGTGATGTGCTTAGAACAACCACTGTCAAGGAACCAGTGATTG